ATTCTGAATCATTGCTTGGGGCTCTGACATAGTTTGCACTGATACCCCCTTACCATTCATTGCTTGGGGCTCTGACATAGTTTGCACTGATACCCTTACCATTCATTGCTTGGATGCCAAAGTCTGTAAAAAGTGGTATATTGTGGGTTGGGAAGGGTCTATCGGTCATAAGGCCAATGTCTTATCCGAGAGCTACTCGGCCCTGGGGCGGGAGAGAAGGCAACATCCTGTACTTGACCCTTGTCGCTAATAACACGCAACTTGTTAGGAAATGTGTCTATATGGTGTGGGCTCCATCATCAATTTAGTCATTGGTTCACCGGCAGTGCCACGTGTGTGATCGGCCATTGCATACTTCTTACCCGAGTGTTTCGTACTATTGCGAGCAGGGCTCCTGGCGATGGGATGCTGGGCAGGACTGAGAGGTCGATCTGCAGATGCTGCAGATGTTTCCACCATCTCTGTTTTATTATGTCGTCTGAGGTGTTATCCCTTTTTCACACCTGCATTTGGATGGCTTTCAACGAGAGGCTCCGAAAAGCAGCTCGATCGCAATCTTCTGCATGTCTCGTCAAAAGCACCTACATTCAGGTGTTAAATCCACTCCTCGTTGTGAGTGGGACGACCAGCGCCCGGGGTTGATAGGCGTATGGGTCATACCGAACAACACTTCCCACTGATGGGGAAAACTGGCCCTGAAACTATCTATCACTTTTCGGATGCATCACTGAACGGGTAGACTACCCCAAATGTAACACGGTCGGCATTCACTAAGTCTCAGATCCAGTCTTCCCCTGCAGTGGACCTCCTTAAGACCACCAATACCTTTCCCATGTATCGGCTGTGGGACAGAATAGAGTAGAAGTGTTTCTACCAGTAGTCGGATGAATTGACCGTTCGTTCATCATTGTCACGGCTTGTTAACCGCCGTGACTTCCAAAGGTACTGGTAACCATTGGGACTTCTGGAGGTACTGGTGGTTTACGATTGCATGCATCCCACCAGCAGCAGATCCGAGTCATCAGTGCCCTCACATATCGTCTGGACATAATATGTTCTACTGTTTCTCTCAAGCCTATATATACATATTGTCACATATATTTATACACTTGTTCTTTTCCGGCGTAGCCCCTCGTTTGTTGTCCTCTTCTCCCTGTTCGCATGTGGCTCAGCGGGCAGTTCTCTACAACAATATATATTTGTTGCATATCTATAAACCAGAAAAGCGAATTTTCCAAAATAAACAATAAATATACACGACAAATACGAGGAGCACACTGAAACCATTAATTTTTATCGTTCTTCTTCCCCTTTCCTGTGGCTCTCATGTACTCGGCTGCGTGCTGAGAAAGTTGAGTGCAAGCTGCCCACATCCCCATGTGCCATAACGGCCCACTTGTATGCTGTGAGGAAGAGGTGGAGTAAAGGGGGAGGGGATAAACACAAAGAAAAGATGGAGAGAAGACAAAGCAAGGGAAAGCAAAGGGAGAGTAAGAAGTGCAGAATGAAGATGAAAGCAAAGGAAAAGGCTTATGAATCAGTCTGTCCTTGACGACAAAGAGGACATACATTGTAAGGATTAGGGTGGATGAACACATGGAAGAACTAGCTGAGCATTCTCATAACAATGGCGGCTGCCGTTGAGCATTCTCACCATACATTCCCGACAAATGACATGTCGATTGCAGGCCGACATGAAGGAAGAATGGGCACCACCAAAAAACAGTACAATGCCCATGGCCGCAAAATAGGCATATCGTGTCCATTTCCTTCATGTTGGCCTGCAATCGACATCATGATGCCATTTGTCGGGAGTGTATGGTGAGAATGCTCAATGCCAGCCGTCATTGTTATGAGAATGCTCAACTAGTTCTTCCAGGTGAGTGCAGGCATTCTGCGCTGACCCATATCCTACATGATGACTTTTTTTTTTTTTTTTCTTGATGGTGATTCTGATCTTCGTGTTATGGATGTTGGTTCGTGTTCTATGACATTTTCACACACATGGATGCAGAAACAATGTCATTGTTGTGATTTTGACAGAGACGATGGCGGCTATAGCCGAGTGTAACAGTGTTTGTAGTTGTGCAAAGGAGAAGGTCGCAGAGCGTGCCCTGCTGCAGCACAGGGCCAGAGAAATGATCTTCAAGATAAAAGAAATTGCGGACGGTTTGGTGAGACAAAAAAACACCATTATTATGTAAGAAATCATTAACACAAGTCATGGCATGGACCACGATATCATTGTCCCACAACTCTCAATCGGCAGAGGCATGTACAATTGCCATGTGATGGCCAGGTGTGTGTACAATGCAAATTGAGCTTCGGGATGGAGGATTAAACCACTTGCCTGCTTGATCATTGCGTAGTTCAAGTTGGCGGTCCCTCCTTGCTACTCTTAGGAGAGCAATGGTAAAAAGCCTCTTTCGCTGCTGTAATTACAATCCTCTGGAAGATCAGCATCAAGCTGAAGGGCAATTGCAAGGAAGTTAGACGTTGTGTGAACACATATATTAGTTGCAGTCGGGCCACAGAGATTGGAGTCGATCTTAGGCTGGTGTGTTGGATGCTGACCAACAATTTTGCAGATCACACAGATGGTGTTGCTATCCCAAAATGTGTTGTGCTGTTTGCTGGTCAGTCCTTTGCAGATCACCCATGTGGTCTCCGCATGATGGGGCAAAATTTTGCGGCTCACCGAAATGATGTTGGTCAACAATTTGCAGATCCTCCATGTGGTCTACGGTTTGTGGCGCTAACTGCAATCCAGGCAAATCATGTTTCAATCCCTCGACATTTGAGGCTGCATCCTGAGTAGGGACTGTCCTTGGAATTGGGAGTGTACGTTGGGCGGGGACCGCATCCTGATGTACAGGTGACTCATGAATATCTAACGCTGAAGGTCATAAAACATGATCCTGTGGTTGCATGGAGGCATAGTAGTGTATATTGTCATTTGGAAATAAGGAACCACAATAATCTGTGGAGCAGGCATATAGAGAAGTTCAATTGGGCAGACAAAGAAACAGGCTGCTCATCCCCGGACAAGCGATGATGCGGTGCACACCATTGACAATACGCAATAAGAGTAGCGGTGTTGCAAACCGAAGGTGAACGTGTCTCTGGCAACGAAGGTGGAACAATGGGAACAGTGAGCACATGAGAGTCTGTTTGCAAGCGAGACCGATGAGGATCACAACCGTGTGCGACCAAGCATAGAAAGAGACAGTTGTTATGATCCTGGCCAATTTCGAGATACACATTCATCAGATAGTATAATGCCGTTCAATTGCAGAAAGAAATGAATGAACTTGAGAGGATAGAGAGGGTAAGAAGAAGAAGAAGATGATGATGTACACCAGCATAGACAAATGACAAAACTCTTCTTCTTCGCTCAACACTCTCCTCCTCCTTTACTCCTCCCTTATTCACACAAAAAATAATATCAATGTCCGAGTTCCTCTTCTACTGCAGGTATCACTTGAGGGCCACCATAGCCATAGCCGCCTCCCTCACTCTTCACTCTCATAGGCGGAGGCTATGGCGGACTACCGGGCCTTGCCCTGATGCCCAAAGGACAACCCAAAGCAGCTATGGCTGCTCTAGCTCTGGCCGCCATGCCTGACTCTGCCTCAAAGCTTCTTGGTGTAGCTCTACCCCAACTGAGGTCTCTTTGCTGCAGCGCCCACCAAGGTGATGAAGATGGCTGCCACCATAGCCAGGTAAGTACCTCTGGCACTCCCCCTTCCTCCTGTCCTTCTTCCTCCTCCGTGTCCTTGCTCCTTCCCCAGCAGCGCTGCTCCAGCCAGCGCTCCAACCAGTGTGTCGCCAAACTTGCACACCGACAATGAGGCTGGGCTCTTCGCTCGGCCTAGAGATATAGCGGCCTGCTTGCCTCTTGGGCGGTGACTTCCAGGCCGCTCGACCTTCCCAGCAACCGGAATCATCATTGCAGACTCTGATATTGCCCGTTCATGCCCTAGACTCAGACTGGCTGGACTGGTACCCGCCTAGACCTAGCCTACAACTACTGGGCCTCTCAAAATGCCACTTTTGTCTTCTTTTGCTTGGCCTCCAGTACCCACACATCTACCTCTTTAGGGTGTGGTACTGGCCTATCTACTACTTGAGTGTTTTTCCCCGCTGCAATCCCTCAATGTCATGGCCACAGGTAAGTACTGACCCTGAGGGCCCAACGAACGGACAAGTACCCTTGCGGGTCACACACACACTCAAGCCAACCAGCACTCAGACAGACATGCAGACTAGCAAGCATGCACACTCACACACACAAACATGCAGAACTTAGTGGCAAGCGGGAAACTCAGCAAGGCATTCAGTCCGTGAGCAAAACTCAGAAATCAGTTGTGTGTCTCAGTCCGTGTTTGGTCGGGTCATCACACTAACCCCCCCTTAAGAGCGAGGTCCCTTCGAGTGAGTAACTCAGTCTGAGTCCCCGACAAACGCATGATAAGGAAATAAGGCAAAAAAATTTTGAAAGTACTCTGTTGCAGTGAGCTTTGCTGAGATTTTGGGAACAACATTAGAGGCGATTTGTCGTTCGTAGGCTTTGACAACGCGAGGAGCACTGCGCAGCAGCTCCTGCTTGGAGATCCTGTACAGAACGTCCAATGGGTGACACATAAAGTGAACCTGGTACTGCCGGTTACGTCCCTTCCTTACATGCTGTTTGATTCTGTCGATCTCATGACCGCCATCGATTGCAGGAGGAATCATGTCTTCACAGTAATCGAAGGACTTAGCATCACGGTGGATATACAGTTTTGATGCATGAAAGACAGGGTTTGTGCGCAGATGAGGTGGCACAGCAACTGTGTATGAGGCGTCAAATTCATCATTGCCAATCACATCCATAACTTCCCGCGGACCGTAGTAGAGTGGAAGAAGTTTGAGTCCCACTTCTTCCGCGAGACTCCCTCTTCTTCTGAGAATCCAGACATCTTGACCCAGACATAACTTCCTACTTCGATATCCGAAGGTCGGCGCTTCTTGTTCGCATGGTTGATCATTGCGTGCTGTCGCTTGGTCATTGTTGCGATGGAAACTTTGAGCAGGCGATCGTACTTGGCCCTGAAGCCAGGCCTGCCAGGTGTTAAACCAACTGGCTGTTCAGGGAACATGTGGGAGAGCGGATTTCGAATCTCCCAACCGTAATGCAGCCTGTTTGGCGTCACGCCGGTGGCAAAATGGATGGAGTTGTTGTACAACCCCTTGTCGAAATACAACTCTTCATCCCACGTCTCTTGATCCGGAATGATTAAAGTGTGGAGAAGTTGAAACACAGTCTGGTTGATTTCCTCAGCCAAACCATTGGCTTCGGGATGTCGCCCAGATGTCATGCATAGTTTGAGGCCAGGGAGTTGGGACATGAAGTCCTTCCATTGGGTACTTATGAAGCGCGGGTTCCGATCGCTCACAAGAGTTTTCGGGGTTCCGAACTGCAGAATGTACTTCTGTTTGAACTCACGCATCACCAATTCAGTTGGGGCATGAGATGGCAAAGGAATCAGATTCATAAATTTAGAGAAGAGGTCAACAATCACCATGACTTGCGAATAGTCATTCTTGCTTACCTTTCCCATGTCAGTGAAGTCGACGGAGCTCCCCGGGTCCATCGGGAATGGGAAGGGGTGTGAGTAGCCCCATGGGCTTTTGCCTACATGGTTTGATTCGTCGACAGACTTTACATTCAGCCACAAACTTTTCAGCTGATCCCTTCATACCGGGTCAATCAAACTATCTTAGTAGGTTTCCGCACGTCTTTGCCATGCCGAAGTGTCCGCTCCGGCCATGAGCCAAGTCCAAGAAGTGCGTGCGGAGAGGCTCATGGTTGGGTACACACAAACGGTCGTGATTCTCATAGCGTCGGAAAACAAGTCCTCCATATTCATGAAAGTCAGACTGATTGCCGGGGTCAGACTGTAACTGCTCAAGGATGGGACTAAGGTCCGGATCCTTGGCGTTATGTTCTACGATCTCCTCGTTCAATTTTTTTCGGAGGTCGTAGGAACCCACAAGGCAAGTCATGTACTCAGGGTGGCGAGACAACGCATCAGCAACTCGGTTATAACAACCCATTTTATGTCTCAGTTCAAAATAAAAAATGTCAATCTCATGGAACCAGCACAGTAGAGTAGGGGACAAAGTGGTTTGTTGTTTGATCCACTTCAAGGTCTCATGATCCAAGAACACTTTGAAGTGGTGTCCCAAAAGATAGTGCTTCCAGTGATCCAAAGCCATACGCAACGCATAGAGCTGGCGAATGTAGGTGGAAGTAGCTACCTTTTCGCTGGGCATGCGTTTGCTGTAGTACTCGAGCGGCCGCAAGCCATCGCCGTCATCTTGTTGTAGCCTGCGCCGATCCCGTATTGGCTAGCATCTGTAGTGACTACACATGTTGGTTTGGAGTCTGCAGTGCGAAGTACAGGGTAACTTACCAAGGCCTCTTTTAAGGTTTGAAATGCGGTCTCACATGTTGCATCCCATGTGTAAGGTACATTCTTACTAGTCATTCGGGACAATGGGTGAGCAACAATAGAGAATCGGGGTACAAACTTTCGATAGTACGATGCGAGACCAAGGAAAGAACGCAGTTCGCGAATGTTCGCAGGTTGTGGCCAGTCACATATGACTTCGACCTTGGTTGCCTCAAGCTCGAGGCCTGCAACAGACAACCGATGCCCAAGATAGATGACGTTATCCCTTCCAAACTGAGATTTCTATAAATTGAGATGGAGGTGCGTTTTCTTAAGGATGGTGAACACTTCCTCAAGGTGCTTCATGTGTTCCTCGAAAGATTTACTGAAAATCATAATATCATCGAGATACACTACCACAAACCGACCAATCTGTTCGCGGAGGACCTTGTCCATGAGGCTCTGAAAGGTGGCTGGTGCGTTCGTGAGGCCAAAGGGCATTACGGTAAATTCGTAAAGCCCATCGCGTGTCTTGAACGCAGTTTTGTGTTGGTCCGCCGGATCGACTTCAATCTGGTGGTATCCAGACTTGAGATTGATCTTGGAGAAAACCTTGCACCCACCGGCGGCATCAAGCAAGTCATCTATGCGTGGCAACGGATATGCATTATTTTTCGTGATGCGGTTTAGACCTCGATAATCGATACACATACGAAGCTTGCCTCCTATCTTCGAGA